CGCGCACGTCGTTTCTGCTGCAGATGAGCACATCACCTACGGGGTTGGTTTCGGCGTCCTCGGTATCGAAGCTGTCATCGAGATCCCCAACGAGCGCGAATTGGGCGACGACGAGGCCGATGTTGCCCGCGCCCGTGCCTTTGCAGGTTCAGACGCCGAGTTCGTTGCTTGGCTTGAGCAGAAGATGATGTCGCTAGAACGTCCTTCTCTTTCCTTTTTATGTGGGACTGTCCGGTATGAAGCTCTCGTTCTGCTCGTGAACGAAGGATATGAGTCGCGCCTTTAGGCACCAACTATGGCGACAGGGACGTCCGCTGAACGCCACCAACCATCCAGTCGCATTCCGACACGTCGCGACATTGGGATATCGCATAGAACGCAGGCGGCGACCGGGAAGCTCAAACGACGGGATAGCCAGTCTCCGTTCTTTGATCGAATATGCCAAGGATCTATTCACGCCCTCGTCCTGACAAGTATTCTTCTTACTTGGTGACATAAAAATGGCGGATGACATCAACAAAGTGGACTATGGTATCAATCATGCAGACAGGGACTTAGACGGACCTCCAATGATCAATAAGCCCATATTACTGGGAAGCAGATGGTGATGAGAAGCGGACAGGGTTGACATGGGGTGGGAATGTGCAGGAGGTACGTCCTGGGGGCGGTGTAACAGGCTCAGGCACGATAGTAGGCGGTGATGTTGATCCAGTCTGAGCAAATGTCGGCGCACTCCACGGCACTCAATTTTAGCTAAATAAAGCAGATGTTAATGCTGCGTGCAGTAAGGATGCATAGAGAACGAATCAGTTTGGATTTACAGCAGATATCGGCGCTCAGCTTTCTGCACAGTTGACTATTGGCGAGGCAGGGCTCAATGCGGCCAACGCCTGCGTTCATTGTGGCGCCAGAATGCGATTGCGAGAAGGAAAGATCGTCAATGAAGAGTGGAGGATTGTGCCGAGACTCACGGTCCCCGGATGACGAACGCCACCGTTACGACGGGACGGCAGCACGTGCTCGACGCGTAGTATTCTTCGACCTTCGATGAGTGTTCGTGAGTTTCTTTCTTGCTAACCTGAAGAGCTCATCTTATTGACTCCTTCGCAGATGTCGAGCACGCTTCCGCGCCTGGTCTCTCGCAAGGAGGAGCCTTGGCACTACCGCAAGTACAGTATGAGGGATTTGAGCGTGATCATGGTCAAACCACGTCACTTCCGCTAAAGTGACATGCAGGAGCAAGCCGAAACCACTCCGCTCTTTGAGCTCGGCCGCATTCAATACACCTTCCCCCCGCCTCTAATATTACTCGCAGTATCGTCCGATGTGCTCTCTATGGGACTGGAAAACAACGCCATTGTACAGATTGAACTCTCGCATGCAGAGCAGGCGGAACGGGAGAAGGCCGCAGCACTGGTCAAGGTCCACGAGCTGGAAGACCACATGCGCGACGTGATATTCTTCCTGGAGGCGTCTGAACATTGCGTGACATGCAAGACCTTGGGCTGATCAGGGTCTGACAAGTCTTCTACCTGGCGCAGCTTCTCCCGCGTCTCGTTGAAGTATGAGTCGATGACTTGTTGATCCTATGTCAAGGAAAATGTCGTCAGCAATTGATCTTATCCAAGCACCTGGGTCATAACGTTAGGCCAGACAACATTGCCCGAAGAACGTGGGGGCTAGACTCACAGTTTCAACTTCCTGCTGAGCTTGCCTGACCCTCGTCATCAACCATTGTCTCACCAAGCCAACGCTCGTGACACCGTTCCTGCTCAGGACTTGCACGACGCTCAGCGGCTGCATGATTCCTTGCTCGTCGACGACCCTGAGAATATTTTGCAAGTCCTCAGCATGCCGCGATAATAATTGCGGTGTTGACGTCAAGAACTTCAGCATGAGCGGGTTTAGTCTGGGCTTACCGTCACCGTACTTATTCAGCGCACGGACGACCTCGGCGGGCGCATCAGGGTGTGTTTTCGCACGATAGGCACCCATCCAGAAGCGCAGGATGCCCTCGTACATCCTCGAGCGCTCCCAGAGAAGTATCAAGCCCTGCGTGAAGGAGCGCGTGGAACATAGAACCAATGCATGCGTAAGATATTGTCGCTCTGCAAGACGCGCATAACCTTGTTGGGCGTCGGCAAGCCAATCTGCTCCGGTGATGCGCCATCCTGGATGAGGGAAAGCTCCAGCAGGGTATTCCACTGCGATCTGGTCCCACTTCTCTGCTTCCTCATCCGCATTCGGGTCATTCTCAACCACAGCGTGTGGTGCGGACGGATCGACGGTCTGACCCTATCGCCGCAGGGTGACGGACTCCAAGAAGTGCACAAGATAGTCCACGTGGTCAATGAAGTACACGAAACAAGACAAGGAGACTAGCGCTTCATACTTTGTACTCTCGCCTTTGTTAGAGACGGGTTTGTTAGGGTAGCCGGGGAAGAAGTGGCCGTTCTTGACACATCCTGCACCGAGTCTCGGCGCGCCCGTCCACCGGGTCTGGCGGTCATACTCGGCGCGGACGAAGGTGCCGCCCCGTCCGTGGGCATTGCTGGAGCTGGTGTAGACGACTTGTCCAACACAATATAGGAAAAGGATGATGGGCCGCCGCCTCTTGCTTGTCGCGTTGGACCCTTGATCTCGCCTTCGTCTTCGAAGGGCGACGGTGCGAGACTCGCACAGAAGTCGATGAGAAGTTCAGGGAGATTGTCAGCATAGCTCGGCCATAACGAGCCAGATTTGCTTCTGCCTACGATTCGATATGATATCCTATCAGCAGAAGCTCTAACTTGTTGCTGCGAATACCTACTGCCTCGGCACCGAATCGCCCGAGGTACACCAATGCATCCTTGTAGTTCCCGAGCCCTCAATTTGTATCCTCAGGTAGTCTTCGTGGCGCTCATATTTCTTGGCGAGGTACGAAGCATGCTCGAAATATCCTGCCTGCAAACACGGATCGAATTGTCAAGGTCGAACGGAAGCTCGTCTGTCGCGCACGACGACTTCCGCTTAATGAAGCTGTCCAGACGCGCGACGTCCTTCAGCTTCGTGTACGTGTTTAACAGCAGGATTGTGTGGTCCGCGTTAGCGCGCCCTAGGGAATGGAGCCCTTGAAGGTAGAGGTTGTGTATCCGTTGCGCATCTAAGAACTGAGACGTTCCTTGACCTGATTATCATACGAGGTGGAGAAGTAAAACTAACCTTCCTGATCACGTAGCTTGGTATGTACTGCTGCGTCGTACCGTCGAGTATAAATGATCTCCGAACTGTCTATGAATATCAGCGACGCTCGTTTGCCCAGCTGCTGTGTTTTGGTAAGAGTCACGGCGTTCAAATGCGATACAGCATATGAAGTTTGACTGGAGTCGGTTTCTGTTCAAGACACGACAGCTATGTTGTCATGTATGAACAATATAGAAGTATCATGAAGTTATAGAGCGTCCGTTACCGTCATTCGACAGGACATACAGTTTGCCCAAAACAGAAAGAACCTCACGGACTCGTTGGTGACAAGTCTACGATCACGCTGAGGTGCGATGCGGTGTCCATTGCGTGCTGTGCAGTTTTGCATGGCTCAAGTCGGATTAAAAGCACGTTAGCGTCAGGCTCACTGAGATACGGATTGACGAAAAGGTTCAGATAAATAGAATGAGACATCGACTGAGTCGCAGAGACATGCTGGTGAAAGCCACCGCGTCAACACGCAACGAGCGTCTACTCCACGTGAGCCACGGGCGTCTTGCAGTCGGGTAGGAACTATGAAATAGAGGAAACATTTGGTGGAAATATTTGACTTCCAATCATTGGTACACCAACAATAAAGGGTACATGACTTTGATTTCAGCCTCCCCATTCGCGCTCATGCCTCGGCAACGGGACGACCACGACATTCTCCACGCCCGCACCGCGCGGCGGACCCATCCATCGTCAGCAAGGCCCGCATTTCA